CACTGTGGGGAGCTCCAGTATTGTTTGTAAGGAAGAAGGACAGAACCTTGAGGCTATGTATTGATTATCGACAATTGAATCGGGTGACGATTAAAAACCGTTATCCGTTGCCACGTATCGACTATTTGTTTGATCAGCTTTGAGGTGCTTGTGTATTCTCCAAGATTGACTTGAGGTCTGGATATTATCAGCTGAAGATTAATAGGGATGATGTTCCTAAGACGGCGTTCAGGACTCGTTATGGTCATTACGAGTTTCTGGTTATGCCATTTGGGTTGACGAATGCACCAACTGCTTTCATGGATTTGATGAACCGAGTATTCCAGCCATATTTGGATAGGTTTGTTATTGTTTTCATTGACGACATTCTGGTGTACTCGAAGTCTAAGGCGGAGCATGTTCGACATCTTACTTTGGTGTTGAAGAGGTTGAGGGAACACCAATTGTTTGCTAAGTTTAGCAAGTGCCAGTTTTGGTTAGACCAAGTTGCGTTTCTGGGGCAAGTCATTTCTGCTCAGGGTATTTTGGTGGACCCTCAGAAAATGGCAGCTGTAGAGAGTTGGGAGCAGCCGCGAACCGTCACTGAGGTGAGGAGTTTCCTTGGTTTGGCAGGTTATTATCGACGGTTTGTTAAGGATTTTTCGGTGATTTCTTTACCATTGACGAGGTTAACGAGGAAGGATGTTAAATTTGAGTGGGATGATAAGTGTGAGCAGAGTTTCCAGCAGTTGAAGTATTGTCTCACTCATGCGCCAGTTTTGGCACTCCCGGACGATAGTGGTGATTTCGAGGTTTTTAGTGATCCTTCTTTGAATGGTCTGGGAAGCGTATTAATGCAGCATGGTAGGGTGATCGCTTATGCTTCGCGTCAGTTGAAACCTCATGAGTTGAATTACCCTACACATGATTTGGAGTTGGCTGCTATTATCTTTGCGTTGAAGTTGTGGAGACACTACCTTTATGGAGAGAAATGTAGGATCTTCACAGATCACAAGAGTCTCCAGTATCTTTTTGCTCAGCGATTACGATTGTACGATTGATTATCACCCTGGTCGTGCAAATGTAGTAGCTGATGCACTCAGCAGGAAGTCTCAGGGCCGTATTAATGCGTTGTACGCTAGTCGTATTCCTCTTTTGGCAGACTTACGTTCTACAGGAGTGAGATTAGAAGCAGAAGGTCGAGATGTGGCTTTACTTGCTAATTTTCAAGTTAGGCCAATTTTAGTTGATCGGGTACGTGAAGCCCAGGTGGCTGATGGGGAAACTCAGGAACTAATTCAAGCTCGAGATCGAGGGAGGAGGAGAGACCTCAGAGTTCGCGATTCGGATGACATGTTGATGTAAGAGGGAAGAATGTTGGTGCCAAATAATTTGGATTTAAAGAAAGAAATTCTCGATGAAGCACATATCTCGGCTTACGCCATGCATCCAGGAGCTACTAAAATATATCATACCATTCGACCATTTTATTATTGGCCGGGTATGAAGAGGGAGATAGCTGAGTATGTGAGTAGGTGCGCTGTTTGTCAGCAGGTTAAAGCAGAAAGGAAGAAGCCGTTTGGGTTGTTGCAGCCGCTTCCCGTTCCAAAGTGGAAATGGGAAAATATTACCATGGATTTCGTGTACAAGATCCCGCGTACACATAATGGTTTTGATGGCATTTGGGTGATCGTTGATCGGCTCACTAAGTCGGCACATTTCATTCCAGTGAGGAAGAAGTATTCTTTGGGCCGGTTAGTGGAGTTGTTCATCTCGAAAATTGTGAAGTACCATGGTGTCCCTGTGAGTATTGTCTCGGATCGTGATCCACGATTTACATCTAAGTTTTGGGTGGCTTTTCAAGAAGCTTTGGGTACGAGACTACTTTACAGCACGGCGTATCATCCACAGACAGACGGACAGTCAGAGCGAACCATTCAGACTTTAGAGGATATGTTGCGAGCTTCGGTGTTGCAGTTTGGTGATATTTGGCACCAGCGGTTGGACTTGATGGAATTTGCCTATAATAATAGCTTTCATTCGAGTATTGGCATGGCGCCATTTGAGGCATTATATGGTAGAGCTTGTCGCACACCGTTGTGTTGGTCTGAAGTTGGAGAAATAGTCTTAGTGGGTCCGGAGATTGTTGAGGAGACTACTCAAAACGTTCAGGTAATTAAGTCTAACCTGAAAGCAGCCCAGGACAGGCAGAAGAGCTTAACAGATCGGTATGCTACGGACAGGGCGTATGAGGTCGGAGATTGGGTATTTCTGAAGCTTTCGCCATGGAGAGGTGTTGTGCGGTTTGGGAAGAAAGGCAAGTTGAGTCCCAGGTACATTGGACCTTACATGGTCACCGAGCGAGTTGGTGAGGTAGCTTACAGGTTGGAGTTGCCTCCGGAGTTGGCTAGAGTGCATAATGTGTTTCATGTATCTATGCTTCGACATTATGTTGCTGATCCGTCTCATGTAATACCTCCACAGCCCTTGGAGATTAATCCAGATTTGACTTATGACGAGGAACCAGTGACGATACTCGACTGGAAGGAAAAAGTTCTAAGGAACAAGACGGTGAACTTAGTGAAAGTTTTGTGGAGGAATCATGCGGTCGAGGAAGCTACGTGGGAGACGGAGGATAGGATGAGGGATTTGTATCCTAGGTTGTTCTTTGGTCACTAGGGGTTACATTTGGTTGTTTTGAATTTCGGGACGAAATTCTATTAAGGTGGGTAGGTTGTGACAGCCCGTCCCGAAAATATCGAAAACATACGTGTGAAAAGACAGTTTTGCCCCTAGTTCGATTTCGTTTCGTTATTTTGGTTGTTTTGTGTTGTGTTGGCATGTCTTTGGGCCACACACACACTCCCACACCTGCACCACCCTCTGTCCCCTTTCCCTGTAAGTTCCCCGAGCCCCATTCCCTTCCTCATTCTTTGAAAACGTACGGACACGCACCAAAACCCATTAAACACTTACAGATCGAAGGAACCAAGCACACATTCGAGCTCGTGAGGCTCGTTGGAACCCAACCACACCATTTTCAGGTAAGAATATCAACGTTTTCACGTCGATTCAAAGTTGTCCGATTTGAGTACTATTCATGCAAACGTAAATTCTCACTTTTTAGGGGAAATGAAGCTCGTAGGTAGCTTGGTGAGGTCCCAAGGAGTCTCGGAGTAGTTCGTTTGAAAGATTTGGACGTCGGGATCACCGTATTCAAAGTTGGCCGGATTTGGTTTGTGTGGACAGGTGAGATCTCGTAGTTTTTAACCCATAAAAGTGGTATATCGTTGTTCTCCTAGTTCTAGGCGTCATTTTGGTACAAAAATCGTGAAAATTGGATGAAAAATGAAGGAGTTAGAACGTTTTAAAGATTTTCCAGTTTTCCGGCGCCGGCGACGGCGCCGGAGGCTCGCCGGAGAAGGTGACGGAATATTCCGTCAATTCTGACGGAATATTCCTGACGCCGTTAACGGAATCTGTCAAAACTGACGGAATATTCCTAACGGCGTCAGTTGACGCCGTCAGCGTGCCAGGCACGTGCCTGCGCGTGGCCGGCGTGTGTGGCGGTGCCTTGGCCGGCGCGTGGGGGCGCGTGCGGAGGTGGAATTTTTTCTAAAAATTTGGGTGTGATCCTGAGGTTGTGTAGAGCACGTTGGTATATTCAATTGTCCAATTTGAGCAATGTATGAGAAGTTGTTACGAAAGGAAGGTTATGTGCTTTAAAATTTACGTTTTTATAGTATTTTCGCATATAGGTGAGACGTATCCCGAGGACGAGCGTGGTCACTCGAGGCAGGGGGGCTACGACCCTTCCACTTACCAGTGAGTGGGCTTTTGGTTTTCTGTATATACCTATATACTATTATTTTCCCAGAAATTGATTTAAATGTTGTTAATTATATGCCATGTGTTATATTATCGTTCCTTATGCATCATTAGTAGCTTTATTAGTCGTATATATATACGTATGCATAATTGGTGCTGTGGATGCACAGGTAAGTGCCAGGTAAGCGTTATTTCATATTTGCATTCAATAGTGATTAGAGATGCTTAGAGAGCTCATAACCTGCACCCCCGGTGTTAGTGCTCTCGCCCAGAGTAGGGCACAGTCCTTCACGTCTTGTTCACCTCCCGCACCACACGCTCAGCTTGGATCCAAGTTAGGTGCACAATCCTATCGTACAGACCACTTTAGGTGGTTCCGACTCGTAGGTGACCCGCGATTATTCGCACAGTCTTCACGTGATCGTAGCACTAGAGCGTTAATATGTATTACACCCAGGCCTGTCGTACAGACCACTTTAGGTGGTTCCGACTTGTGGGCAGGTTTAGTTGTTGTGATTGAGATTTGAGCTCTAGATGCGGCCGTACAGGTCACGTTAGGTGACTTCGGCTGCCAGATTATATGTTATTGATGTGATTTACTCCTGAGCATTGGCATTTCATTCAGAGGTTCCGACATGGCATATATTTGAGCATGATTGGCATTTTTGTATCTATGTGCATATGTTTATTTTCTGGGAAGTATACAGGTTTTACGGTGAGGGGTTAGAATCTTGTTTTTGAAATGGTTTTCGAAAAGCTTAGTTTTTGCCCACTCACGCTTTTGTTTTGCGCCCCTCCAGGTTCTAGCTAGCTAGCAAGTTTGGTGGTTTCCCAGATGGCTTTCCCGACATTTCTGACAGACGATCACCAGCGTAGGGCCACCTTCGAGTGTACTGTTGTAGCGTCATTTTAGTTTGGACTGCTTTAGGCTTTCTGCTCTGAACTTGTGTTTCACTTACGCTAGCACTTATTACTTTTAACTTATGTATGCTAGTTTTTAATTATTCGTACTTTTACTTTAATATTTTATTAGCTTCCGCACTGTGCACATGGCTACCTCACTTCCACGTGACGGCCAGCACGCCCTGATCTCGGTCGGGGTGTGTCAATTTTTCTGCAATTGTTGGGATCATGATTGTTCTGGTTGAGTGTTCTTGTTGGGTTGATCGTTCTTGGGGGAGTCGTGTAGCGGCCTTGTTGACAACAGCCTTGCCGTCGAGCCATTCGGTCTTGGTGGTGTAGATAAAGAACTGTGATCCGTTGGTTTCGGGACTAACGTTGGCCATGGTTTGTATGCGCTGGAGTTCAACGGGTAATGGGCAGTCAGTGTTGGTGTCTAAGCGTAAGGAATACAAAACTAAAGTCGGTGCTTGACACAGAAAGAAGTCGGTGTCTAAATGTGTATGCAATCAGCTTGTTGTTTTTTAAGTATTTCACATTTGTTGGTTATCTTGATTGAAGGAAGAAGATGAAGAAGTCGCCATTGGAGACATCAAAGATGAAATCTTGAAGAATGGAAGTGGGTTGTTTAGATTTCTGGGAAATATAAGAACCCTGTCGACTTAAAGAAGAATAACGAGTTCCTGAGATGGGTCCTAGTCCTGAACGCCGCATATAGAGTTGAAAGCCGAAAACCAATCGAAGTGCAAGCATTTTTCGGGAAAACTTGGTGGTCTACTCAAATCACTTTCTAAATTCTTTGATGGTGTTTGTTTGTTCAAGATTGCAAATCTTAGGAGCTCTTCAGGTTTTGATTCTTTCTCTTTTCTTTGGTATGAAAGACGGATCAAACATGTGTGCAGTCCAGGTGTTTGTCGAAATGCCCAACTCAAAAGTTTCATGTGAAGGTTATGTTTTTAGTCCCTTTTCAGTCATTTCTTTTTGCATTCTACTTCTTTATTCTCTCTTGGAAATAATAAGTGCTATCAATGAACATATAATCAACACATCTCCTACTTCAATGCATATTGGCTCTACCGAGGGTTATTCTTTTCCATATGCACTGTGTATATCTGCACAACTCAAGTTGTTTTGTGAAGTTGGTGAAGAAACATGATTCGTGTTCTAGTCTCTGGTGTGGAGTGATCTTGCCGATATGGGTTTATATTGAAAATTGGGTTTTTTATTTTGTTGTTTTTTGAATGAATTGTCTAAGATAAACTACTGTCTCATTTAGTGATTTGGTTGGATTACGAGATTTCAAGAAAGTGTCTTTCTTTCTTGATGGTTAAGAAAGTATCATTCTTTCTTTGATTCCATAGAATTTGCCAAGAGTATCATTCTCTTATTGCCTTAGAATTTGTCAAGGGTATCATTCTCTTGTTGCTTTAGAATTTGTCAAGAATGTCATTCTCTTGCTGCCTTAACATTTGTGTCAAGAGTGTCATTCTCTTGCTGCCTAGAAGAATTCATTTGTTTTGATTTCTGGATTGTACTTGTGTCTTTCATCATGGCTTCACCAACGGCTAAAATTGTCTTGTGTGATGATAATGGAGTGAGCAGAGGTTTTGGTTTGTGTCTCAACTCTTTAAGAAGCTGCAAAAGCTCTCAGTAATCTTTTGGTTAGTAGTTACAAAGGTGTCATGGGGTGCACTTGTTTGATTCAGGGTTTTGGGAAAGTTGGAAGATTTGGTGATAGGTTTTGTGGGGGCTTTCTTGTTTGTAGCATCAACATCCATGTCTTTTCCACCAGGATCAATGATAATTGTTAGCAGCGCCTTTAGTTAGTTCAAGATATTTTTGCTTAAACTCCTATGAAGATGACAAAGACTTCAACAGATTAGGATTAGAAATTGTATTGTGCAGGGCATATTCAGCAGCAACATAAATTTCAGCAAGCCTCATGGGTTGATCAATTGAGCTCTTAGAAATTCCTGGTGAAGAGTTAGTACGTGACATAACACTTGCTTGCACTTTTTGTAATGATGGCATCTTATATGATGCATCAGAACCTGAACCGTCACGAAAATTTTGGCGGCCATAAAACATTTCAACCATATTCCCAGCAGAAAGGGAGGCTTTCCTCAGATTAGCATCACGTAATAGTAGAGAATCACCTCAGATGAAGCATTTGGTGGAACTGAGGGCCAAATTGCAGGCTTCGGCCAGGGAAGCATGCTGAGTGAAGCACTATTTCCTGCTCATTGATGTCAACAACTCTAGACTATCATCAAGGTTCTAAAAGAGGCTAGACGCTAGTCGAACGATGGGCTGGGGCCTAGTGCCTAGGCGCCTAGGCGAGACCTAAGCGGATTTAAGTACATTTATTATATTTCGTGTAAATGTAAATGAGTATCTGTTTATACTTAAATATATATATATATATATATATATTATAAAGTTTTGGAACATGATGAAAATATGGGGAACAAACATATAATGTGTGTTCATTTAAGTATTCAACAAGTCTCTTACAATTTATTGAAAAAATAATATGCAAAATGAAATTTATCTATTTTCTGTCTATGTGAGTTGCAACTTAGGTGGGTGCCTGGGCAGTCTAGACGGGCACCTCAGCAGGTCTAGGCTTCCTTTCTTAATTTTCAAATGCCTAGGCATTAATTAGGACGGTGGCCAGCCGTTTAGCGCCTAGACGGCTCTAGGCGGAGATTTTTAGAACAGTGACTATCATACATTGCTCCAAACTGCAAGAGACAGGGGTTTGGGGGTTTCTGCAGTGTTTAGCTTCATAACAATAATTACATATGTATTTACAAAAGGATTGCACAGTCCAATGTTCTTGGAGCATTGCAGACATTTTAGTCTCGTAGTTCCAGATCAGTCTCAAATACCTGGCTAGTTCAAACTTTACTTGGATACTCCAAGTTTAGTTTGAGGGGGGAGTAATAACTAATATAATAGAAATATAGTTAGAATGGTATTATTGTAATTGGGTTATATAAGAGATTGCATAGCTATCATTTCCTTAAGTTCGGTTGTATACATTTTCTCTAATCAATCAATACAATCTCTCTTGTTCATCTTTCTCTTCCTTTGTACCAATTCTTCATATTTTACAATGGAACATATCTTCTTCCAAATGCATGCAATCTGCATTTTTTGGGGGGTTGGGGGTGGGGCGCTTTGGTTTGATTTCTTTTGAGTTGTGGGAGGTTCGTATTATATTTAGGAAGTGAATTTGTAATGTAGCTCCTATTTAGGTGTTGAGTAATTCACGTGGTGGTGGTGGTGGTGTTTGTCGACCTGCTAGTACACTTGGGGCAAAATCCATGTACGTAATCTTTCTCTCAAATTACACGTGTAGGACCATTATTCTTCCCCTTCCGTTATATTAAGAGTCCAAAAGTAGAAATAAAAAACCTCAAGTTTGGGCCTAAATAAAATTGGGCATTCATTAGGACATTCTAAGGCCCAAGCTACACAAGGGGCTTGGCGCGAAAATGCGGAGGTCAAGTGAGAAAAAAGATCGGATAATAAACCATGATTAAGAGGTGATTTATCTATTTATTTTTACTTGGTGATATTTGAACTTTGGACCTTGCCTAAGATTGTGATTGTTGAAATTCAATAGTAAAAGATACAACAACTGGTTAAATGTCTTGATGGATAAATGTCTTGATGGATAGAGTTTTCCTCTTTAATTCATTGTGTCTCCTCGCTTATATAAAGTAGAAATGACTTTTGCCTTTTAATTTGAAGAGAAGCAATTGTTGACTATTCTGCTGTTTGTGTTAACGCAATAAACTGGTAGGGTTACCAAAAGTGGTATTTTAAGGGTGGTATATTTTTGGGTAAGGAAACGAGATAGTTTTAGGGTTTTCCCCTAGTTTCATAAGTGCCTAGGGTCTAGGGTTTCGTAGCTCCTTCACCTGAAGACAAGGAGAAAATAAGGATCAATGGGTACCAGTGTGATATCGACATAGACACCCCGATGTCTTTTTTTACTTGGTATTTACGTTTCTTATGTCTTCCCTTCTCCTTTATATAGGCCTCGGCATGATCATTCTGAAATATCCTTCCATTTCCTAGTCTTTGTTCTGTCAAAGTGTCTAAGGCCTTGGGTCCCATTCTCGACTCTCCTCTATATGGATGATTGACGAGTGGCACCTAAGATTGGACAGCTGGGGCCCAATGTGCTATGGTATAAAAGAATTATGAGAATCCGTTAATCATGTTTGTTAGTAATGCATCTTTTATCAGGTACGATTTGTGTTTAATTTTAAATAAAAAAATTTAAAATGATTTATGACTGTATGATGTATGATAAACGGACACGATTCACGAATTTCTGGAATTCGCTTGGAGAAACGCTGTAATCAAGTGCTTAAATGAACTGTTATATCCTGCCTTTGAATGAGAGATTTTTTAGTGTGTCGGTAACACGACCCTACACCAAGTGTAATGGTACAACTAGTTGGAACTTAAAAAAAAAAAAATTCAATCAATTGTAGTATGACATTTGGTATATCGAGCCGTATTTTCGAAACTGACTGCTTTTCCTTAAGTCACAAGCCTATGTTGGGCTGGATCATGCTCTATTTCTTTCTTGGGCCTTGCTAGATCATCCTATTCTGGGACTAATGGTTCTTAATGAGGCCCTTATTGATTTATAATGGACTTAAAAGCGATCCCGTATTAACATTTGGATAAGGAATTTTGAAGTTTCAAGATAATGAGACCAAGAGTTGCAAGTGGCCCTTTATCATAGTGGTAGAAATGTGTTGACCTCTTGTATGATGTCGTGGGTTCAAATCCCGTCGGCGGGTAGCTAATCTAACATCTAATCTAAAAAAATCTACAGTTTGACCAAAAAAAAAAAAAAAGACTAAGAGTTTGTTTGGAAGAAGTTCAAGTGCTTTTCTACGATTCATTTCCGTTTTACTAATAATTGATTCCAAAAATATTTTCACCAAAAACATTTTCAAAATACTTCCAAACGAGTCTGAAGTTAAGAAGTGACCTACAATAAGTTAGATAAGGGGAATTATGAATACCCTCCATGACCGTTACAAAAGCATGTAAGAGAAATTCGCAAATCCCTAGAAGGTCTTATTTGCAAATCTCTCACACGTGCCTTTTTAATGGTCATTGCGAACATTCCTAATCCCCCTAACATTATATAGTCCAATCCTTAATAATTGTGTCTCAATCTGAGGACTTAGAAACCTATTATCCAAACCTAGCGTTTAGGCTTGTTTAACGTAAAAGGAAGTCACTTAGTACTACGGTCTAGTAATATTCTTCTTCTTCTGCAAGTGATAGGTCTTGTGATCGATTTTTGTTAAAGGCAAATTTGAAATAAATTATTATGACTAGCTCATTGTGAGGTTTAACCCACCGCCCTCCCCTTAGTGTAAATAATACCGTATGTATTAAAAAAACATAAAGGGAGCCCAAAACAAATTATTTATACTTAATTTAAATTTTAAATGGCTAAAATATTTACTTGAAGGTGGCAGAATCAACAATGTATATATATGGATATCTATATACAACATCGTTCAAAAATAATCTAATAATTACTAATACTCTATCACTCGTTTTGGCTAGGTCGATTTAGAAATCTTTTAAATTCCTCTCTTTGAATTAGTGAATCCTGCTGACTGCAGAACTAGTAGCTTTTGGAGCAATGTTATTTGTTAGGCTCTCAATGTTGTTGCTGTTGCCTTTATTGTTATCTGGAGGCATTGTCACAATATCAATTGAGCCAGAATCCTGATGATGAAAGGTTGTTGATGGTACAGAATTACTCATCTTCTCTATTTCTTTGCCTTTACCCCACAGCACCCCATATAAACCGCACACTATCAATACTGCTCCCAAAACGCTGTTGTAATTTTCCAAGTAAACAAACAACACGAAAATAATTAAATTCATATACACATTTTAGAGTAAATAATTATCATGATAAAGTAAAACCATATCAATTAACGAAACCATTATTATTCGGAAAAAAACATACAAGATGACTGTTTTAGACTGCTAAAATCAAATTTGTCAGTACATACATACCTTCCTAGATGCAGTTTTTCTTCCAATACCAAAGACGCAAGGATGGCAACAAGTACCAACATGAGAGGGTTGAAAACAGATACAAACAAAGGGCCTCTCATGCGAATGCACAAAGCAATAATTGTCACACTTAGCCCAGTGGCCATAATTCCCTACAGCATAAAGTCACCAACTTATATACAGCCAGATTCAATTATTAATAATTGACTATCAAATTCAAAGTGAATATAGACAAAGGTGATGAAAATCTAAAACAAGCACTAGAAGAAGGGTGAAACGTACCGAGTATGCCACGGTTAGAAGCCTGATATTCCAACCCAACTTCCATTGGCTCCACTCCCTCTCCTTGCAGAGGGCATAACCAACGGCCTGGATTGACCCCATTGCTGACATTAGAGCCGTGCTTGAATAATAGCAAGGGTATGTCACACCCATTTTAGCCTATGAATTGCACAAGACAAATAATTAGCTAAATATATACCCAAAATATAAATGTACCACTATGTGAAAATATGAAGTGGAAAATCTACAGGAATTTGGCGGCAATTTATTCTGGAATCAGCTGGCCTTGAATTCATTTTATTTATAAATATAATTTTCTCCTTCATTGATTTATTCTATTTCCACATTAATTATTTCCAACGTAAACAAAATGTACGGAGATTATGGTTATTTTTGTTTTCACAATCAATACTAAAAATAGAAAAATTCAAACAAAAATCTTAAGTTAATGACGAATACTTTTAACCACTTGAAATTCAAGTTTATATTACGAGCATTAGTTTTGACTTTATCAATTTTCCTCTTTATTGATATCGAGAGCCAATAATGGTTTTATTAAATCCGATACTGATATCCCATATGTATTTTGTCCTCTGCTATGTGGCGTTCAGAGTGGCCGACAAGCTCCGGAGTGGGTTGCTCAAAGCTGATCAGGCTTTTGGATTGGACCCCTTCCAATTTCCTCAAGTTGGTATGTGAGATCTGTCTCGTCGGGAGAAACCTACTTGTTCATTAAGAAAGCAAAATCTAGTTGGATCCCAATTAGGATGTCTCATTACACCCAAATTCAAATTCTTTATATCTTTAGGCATCATTTTAAAATGTTTTTAAATAACAAAAAGCGTTTTTTATGAGAGTACTTTTGGAACCAATCCATAGTAAAATGTAAATAATTATGGAAAATCACTTGAAATGCTTTATGTAACAAGCACGTAATTGGTGCTTCTTGCAGAAAACAAGTGTTTTTAGGAACCAAAACATTTTTTCTAAAAGCATTTTTAGTCATTTAAAAACACTTCCAAAAAAGTTCTAATACTTTCTACTGAAAATATAATTCTACCCCTTGAAACTTAATTTTGTTTACCTAAAACTTGCATAATATAGCAACTTAGTACTACGGTCTAGTGGTATTCTCCTTTACTAGTAAGTGAGATAGACCGTAGTGGTATTCCTCTTTACTTGTAAGTGAGATAGACCGTAGTGGTATTCCTCTTCACTTGTAAGTGAGAAGTCTTAGGTTCAATTCTCACCAAAGGCCAACATTATTGTTAGCATATTGTGAGGTTTAGCCCACTCCCCCAATTCTTAATATAGATAATACTGTTTGTTGGAAAAAAAAAAAAAAAAAAAAAACTCACATAATGTATTTGCCCAACAAAACTTTAATGACTAGGCTCCAACTAAGCAGATGCATTAATTAATAAATCATTGTACATCATGCATTAAATAAGTTGTGAGGGTCCAGGAGATTATTCAATATCGCCCGTTCATTGTACATTGTGTGATAAGAAATCATTGTAAATTTTTTATTTATTTAGAATTGAATATAAACATTACCTGACAAAAACTGACTGCATAATATATGATGAACGTATAGATTGGAGGATCTCTGGGATCCTCATAAACCGGAGAGGATCCTCATTTTGTATATTTGGTGCCTACGCCCATTGGGTTTGCAACTTGTTATATTTATTTTACAGCTTATTTCAGACAATCAAATGTATAGCATATAGGTTATGCAGATTGAGAAAATATATATTCAATGTCATGATTTATTTTACAAACTTTTTCAACTTCTTAGTTGTTTTTCTAATTTGCATAAAATTTGGCATTTTTATACACTTTTTTCCTTTTCAATATGCCAACCGAATTTACATATAAATATAGGTAAATTATTGCACATATATTTAGAGAAAAATGTTCTTAAAATATGTAATCATACGTGCTAAATAATTTACGTACAAAATTGTGGTAAATTAGTTTGTCAGAAAACTTTGTATATAGGTATATTATTTTAGCATAAATTTTTTTGTATGTAGGTAAGTTACGCATATATTTATAATAAGATGTGATCAAAATAAATGACCTACAAAATAAAGAAATGTTTTTTGCTTCAAACATAATTTATTTTTTGTTTTACATATTAGTATAGATAGTTTATTTATACATATATTTATAATAAAATGTGCACAAAATAATTTACCTACAAAATAAAGGAATGTTATTTGATTGAAACATAATTTACCTACATTGTACAGATAAATATAGGTAAATTATCTGCACCATATATTTATAACAAAATGTATTCAGTGTGATTACTGTACAGATTAATATAAGTAAATTATCTGCACCATATATTTATAACAAAATGTATTCAATATATGTAATCATACGCAAGTGGCCCTCTATCAAGCTGCCATCTATCACATTTATAACAAAATGTATTTAATTATTTTATAAAAAATATTTATATATAGGTAAACTAAATTACATATATATGAATTAGTATATTGAAACAACTTCGATATAGATAAATTAGTTTAATGTTTTATAATAGTAATTTGTGAACTTATTGTTAATAATTCATAGGCCTTTGAGCTGCAAATTGAATATATGATTTTAGCGAGGAAATATATGATTTTTAGACAAGCATAAAACAAAATCGTGAGGAAAACCATAAGTGAGTACTTTAGTAATAGTATGCCAGTTATTTTAACAATTAAGGTGAGTAATACATTTATTTGACATAACTAGGGGATTTTATGGCATAATTTGTGAATATTTTGTAATAACAGGTCACTTATTTGTTTACATGGAATTTCATTTAAATTTTGAGTTTTATTAGGATGTTTTAAAAATAAAAATAAGTGGGGTTTATGTCAAAGAAATAAGAGTGACAAAGGTCTATCTTATTTACAGCATTATTTACTTTTCATAATTGTGATAAGTATTTTTAGAAATAAAAAAAATTATCAATCACTAAAAATATATCAATCCACGTCATGCTATATCTTATGTGATATTTTTGTTAAAAAACAATAATGCTGTCTTTTATTTTTTGTTATTATTGAGGTAGACGTTTTGATGCTCTAAAGAATCCTAATTTCTAAAACTAGAGAACATGATTGAAATTTTTTTATAGCTCCCAGTCTTCATTAGTTAAATTAGGTTACCTAAAAATGAAGCCAACATAAAATGGTGGGTTTATAAAAACTTTGGTAATTAAGAGAATCACCTGGATAATGAGCCATATAGCGTAGCACAAACAGCTTGCGAAGGCCAGTAGACAACCCAATAGTTGATTACCAGTGTCTGTATGCGGTGTTGATGCCAATTGGCTGTGTTGTTGCCGATTAGTATGTATAAGGTCAACATGCGTGGACCATATGTTGATTTCCATACCTTTATAAAAGGTCATAAGCATTGCTCCACCTATTCCCATTAATGTTCCCATCACCTTTGCCTTCCCTGCTAGGTTTTTCAAATTCAACTTCTCCAGCCTAATGAAAATCATCATAATATTAATAATATAGATGTTAAGTATCATTAATTTTGCCTTCAATTTCTCATTGATTGTATATTTTACTTTTCTTAGTTCAATTGTTCATTCTCCTCAATCGATTTAAGCGAAGTATCTGTTAATCAACTCTCATGCGTGCACATGCTTATATATAGTGACCGATGATCATTTTCGGTAGCTCCGTTAGAAGTTCATCTCTTATTACCCTTTAATATTTTTTACGAAAATTTTAACTGTGTTACTCAAATGAATCACTGCTCCACATTGAGACGAGTACAAGAACAATACCCACGTTTTTAAATTGAAGACTAAAGTTCCTCCAATTAAGCTCAACACTTATGCTCTAATTTTTCTTAAATATTGTTGAAAATTTTCAAAATAATAATAAAGGTAGAAAACACGTATATATTTACCTGAAGATGACGGCCAAGATGAAAGTAATGGCTGGGATGAGTTGGGCTATGGCAGAACCAAATATTGCCGATGTTAAGGCTAAGCTTTCAATGTACAAATTTTGTGCTAACGATCCACTGCAATATTTTTGTATGTTAATTAATAATAGTCATTTAAATACTTGAATATGTATATATACACACATTAAAGACATGATTTTAGCATATCTGTTTTTTATCTTTCCTTCCCCATCTTTTAGAAAACCAATTTACATGATATTGATATACCGTTACGTGGCGTCCCATACTAATTAAAACAACAATATGTGAACAAAATTTACGCATATCTTTATTTTATTGGCATGAGATATCACTATGATGATGTACACATATTTTGTAAGTCTTTCTCTTTTTGTGTTTTTTTTTTTTTTTTTTAAATGGAAAAACTGTACATCCTGCTTTGTGAAGCCTAGAAAGATATATTGGTGCAAGATTCAGAAGTTGTGGACATGCATATTCATAGAGATATTACAATTGGCTTTCCATTACTAGTGGACCACCAACTGTAAGCACTAATATCTACAGCATGCACAACCAAGATAAACCATTACTATTACTTACTCCCCAAACAGATAATATTTCCAAATATAATCCATAGGAGGAGGAGACCATGATTTTGAAGAAAGACAGTGCATATGGGTACGCTGCTCACCCGAACAAGCCAGACAAAAATCCTTGCAAAAGTACCATCCAGGTGAGCTTTGGCCTGCTCTTCCTGCATGCAAAAAACACCAACCAATTGTTTTAGAAACAGTAGCAGATAGGGTTTGCTTGCTAGCTCTCTTTTTCTTCTTCTTTTTGTTTTGGAGTATGCACAGGGTTTAAGTCAATGAAACTTCTCGTGCGTATATGATTAACTCATTGAATGTTCTCATACATTACTGTAAAAACAGATCATGCAGCTACTTTTCAAAAAGAGTGAGAACGCAAATCTAGAAAGCACTAGCTAGGCAATAGTATGATTTTTTTTTTTCTGTAAAAAAACTAATATAATAATAACAACAATTAGCTTTTATATGGCACAGATTTGAAGAATGCGATTAAAGTTAAGACAACAGAGTGTTAGCTGTGGACGACTGCTTGACTCAGAAATCTTAACTTCCATGGAAAAACAAGAAGAAATAAGTTCTATATAAGAAGAAAAGAGAGAAGTGCAAAATTGCAAATTATCACCTTTCGATGAAAAGAGCAATAGGAAGAAGGAAAGCGGTTCCAAAAATGAAGCGATATGCAACAAGAATCCTTAAATTCATTCCATCGTGAGCGGCCAGTTTATAGAGAATATTAACTCCTGCAAGTGCAAATTGAATCACCACCATTAACAACACTGGCTTCAACCCATGAACAACATTACATATCTGACCAGTGCCCATCGTCACAGAGAGAGAGAGAGAGAGAGAGAGAGAGAGAGAGAGAGAGAGAGAGGGTCTGAGTGGTAAAAGAAAGAAACTAAGGAGTGAATTGGGTATTGACCGAATTGACAGTTTTAAAGCTCTAGGTGCGCCTCTGCCTTCTTTGGTAGTTCCTGTTTGGAATTGATATTTTAATGCTAGAGAGACTAAATTTGTAAACAAAGTTTTGAAAATTAAAGAATATGGAAGTTGATGATTAGTTTTTTATTTACATGTTGATAAACATGTTTGTTCTTATTGATGACACATCATTTAATTTGTAAATTTAGTCTTCAAATTTGATCTCCTTAGCATTACCCTTTAAAACTCTAGCTAGGTGCGCTTCCGGCTACTTTGGTAGTTCCCCACGTCACAATACCACATGGACGCTAAAAACTTTATACAAAATAGGTGCTGTACTGTCTCTCTTTTTTCTTTTTCTTTTTTTCGTTTTAATTACAACAATAAAAATAGTGCACATATTTCTGCAAATTTTATCAAGTAGTGTTAAGGTAAACAATTGTTGGTCTCAAGCCCGGATAAATGAGGAAGGGGAAGAGGACGTTCGATAGTTGATAGTCGACACTTCGTTTTTCACATCATGGTGCTGGTTGTGGGTACAATGTTTTCACGTGTAGAAGGTAAATTTTGTATCAATGAAGTTTAGGGTTACAATCTCTAATACAAAATGTTAATCCTCTAATTCTATCTTCGGGGCTGCAACGTGTATGTGTAGGGGTGTTGATCCAAGGGTCATAGTGACTTGTTTTCGAACCAATGAATGCCAGTTTGACTTGCGGTGATGGAGGAATCAGCACGTGTAGGGGTGCTTGATGTTCTTCATGAGTCTGGTGAAGAATGCATTGAGCTTTCTAAGTCTTCTGAGTGTGTAGAGTGTCTGAGCGTCTAGGAGATGGGAAGATGTTTGAGTGTAGGATATGTCTGAGGAGCCCAGGACCCCGTCTTTGTCTTGAAGTCTCGTATTTATAGGCTAGCTCTCCAAGTCTTTGATTGAGGATTGATTTGGTCTTGATTTTGGACTTGATTAATTGACGAAGGAACTCAAGCTTGATTTGGACTTGGTTCATAATTTGACTTCATCAAATAATCTTGATTTAATCAAATACTTTTTTATTTAATCAAATGAATTAATCACATTTCATCATTAATTTGCCCATCCTTGATTTAGCCAATCTCCCTCGATTTGGTATTTTATTTGTTTTAAATTTAATCAATTAATTTGTTTGAGTTATATTAAATTGATTAAAGGATTAATAAAGAAATTTATTAATTATTTCTGTCAAATGTCGACGCGTCATTCTTGATGACACTTTCCGTTTTGATAAGTCACGTGTTATGTGTGCGATTTGTGAGACATATGACACATGCCACACGAAGCCCTCGCATGTCAAAATTTTAATATGTTGATGAGTATTTATTTCATTGTAATTTATATGTCTACGAAAATATTGATGTACTTTTTTTGTTTGGACCAAAGTCAGACAATCAAAATCCCACCAAGGCACAAGAGAGAAACAAAGATACACTTATAAGCTGAAAGCAATCGACAAAGTTACACTTATAAGCAGAAATTAGAAACACTAATCCAAATGCATAAACAACAATTATGAGACAACCATTAATTTTTTAGCAACAAAATAATAATATTAAGGCTTAAATCCCCTTATCCCTCTTCATTCTCTCTGCCCGAACAAAAAACAAAATAATGAAATTGGAGAACTGATTATGTAATCATATATTAGCCAAAATTTGGGGCCTTGTGCTATTGCACAATTTGCTCCCCTCAAATCCAGCACTAGGCGGATGCAAGAATCTATTCTCGTTGTATCCCAACTATGACGCGTGCAACGCCAAAATTGTTTTTCAAATTTTCGGTGTGGCAATTCATCGAGCACTTGGCTAACCTCATACAATTGTGTGTTTAACATATATCTTTGCACCTTAGTGCTCTTTTAGTTGTCTTTAGGTCAATATTGTTTTTTTTTTAGTATATCAATATTTTTACACTAGGGGAGGGAGAATTCGGCTAAGCCACACAATGGGCAACCTAATTTGGTATCGAATTCGCCATTCATGAGATTTGAACCTAAAACCTCTCACTTCCAAATGAAGAGTAATACCACCAGACCGGAGTATTGAGTGGCAATCAATAAAAATATTAATGAAAAACAGTAAACATGGTTGAAACATCTCGACGTGTTTTTCCTATTAATTCTGGAAATATTGAAGCAATAACCAAAAGAAAATGAAACATCGAATTGAAGTTAAAATTGAGTAACAAATTTTTTTTAAGAATTAGTCGATCGATTGATGCGAAGAGGGTGAGATAGCTTTGTGTATAGTATAAAATAAGTACTAAATAATGTGTAAGGTTATACAATATACCTTCTCCTCAAGCAAACCTGTCTGAGACTGGGGCAGAGAGCCATTTTCATCCATAGCATCATGCTGATCCTTAAGGCCTCCATTTTCTTCAGAATCTCCTTTTCCCATCTCATTCCTACTGTGTTCATCAATTTCGGGAATATCCACCGTTTTACCAGTTGATTTCTGCTTCGATGATTTTCTAGTTTTTCCCTTGGCCCATGCCGGCACGAGCTACTCATACAACCCCCCATTTATGGAAATCCTTAAGCTTTGCCTTCAACAAGGACGAAGTCAATGACGACCAATATTCCTAGGCTTTGGGAATATGATTTTAGAGAGCCTTATATAATATGCTACGTTTAGGGTTTTATTTGAATCCAACTTTCTTTTAAGATTTTTTGGAGAGCTACTTTGATGAAAATCAACTCGCCATTTTTGTTTATTTTATTGAATCTTGCATTGATTGGTCAAGTATCTTCTTTTCAATTATTATTAGAAGATCAATAGTATTGATTTTGAACAGACTTTTCGTGATTATGTAGCTACCATGCAGGGATAAAACCCATGGGACAGTTTTAAGCAGAGTGTCAAATCTTCTAATATGATACGAAACTTAATGTTTTATTGTTTGAATTTTTCTATTAAAACACCTTTTATTTATCGAAGTACAAACTTTATTTAACTTTTAAAAATAAATAAATATTGTTATGGTTAAAAGACTATAAAGTACATATTCTACTACAACCTCTGGCAAACTCAGTGGTAGACAACATGAGTCTGCCAACTGACACAAATGCAGATGCCAAAGCCAGATATTCCATAGAGATTTGATGCACAGACAGGTTCATATGCAGATGCATACTCTGGATGCCAAAGCCTTGTAGATTTCGGATGAAGGGCTGGTTTGATATTGCTGTGCTTTGAAAAAAACTGCTTTTGCTGTGCTGTGAGAATAAGCAGCTGTGAAATAAAGCAGCAGAGTGTTTGGTAAACTTTTTTGTAAAAGTGCTTTTGAAAAAAAAAAAAAAAGAGCAGTATTAGAGTGTTTGGTAAACTTTTATGTAAAATAGATGTGAAAAAAGCCGGTTTTTCAAAGCTGGGTTTTGCAGCTTCTTGTTTTTGGCTTTTTTTCATCCAAAACTATGAAAAAAAGCTGAAGCTGAGTGTTTACCAAACACAAAAACAGCTCCCAGCTTTTTTTTATAGCAGTTTTTTTCAGAATCACCTCAGTATCAAACCAGATCGAAGTCAAACTTAGAACAAGTGGATGCAGATGCTGAAGCAAAGATTATATGAAAAGACGGTACATGAATGCTCCCCGTTTGTGAAGAAATGGAGAAAAGGTCTTCAAAAAACGAACGAACAAACATGATCAAACTACTTTTTTTTTGGCAAAACAAAACCCAACTGACTGACTAGAACGAAACCCTAATCAAGATAGAAAACGAGCACGGATTGAACACAACGAAAGTGGACCGTAGGACCCAAGGTTCCTCCTTTACCCGGTCGATGTGAGATTCATACTCTAATCATGCCTCTTAATGTGTGGCGAATTTTTAAGCCTAGCTAACATGTAAACAACACAAATCAGGTGATGTAGAGCATGTGTGGCCTTTGAGCTTCACATATGGTACAACCTACTCTGATGCTATGTAAAAATATGACTCCATATATTGATGTGTATGAAATTTATCAATCCTTATTTAGGTAGGAATCCTATACTAATTACTAGTGAAAATTACATTTGTGTAATACATGTAATAATTATGAAGAAGATTTTGAATTAATTAACTCAAACTAACAAACATTAAATGAAACCAAAAACAAGCAAGTTACATGAATTTAAAATTGAAGAAAACAAACAATGGAGAAGCATGTGCTGGGACCAATACGATTTAGGCCGTGGAGGAAAATCGGGTAGGGGCTAGGCAGGACAGGTGATGGTAGGCGGTAGCTAGGTGGTGCTAGGTAGTAGCTATAGGCAATTCCATTGTTTTTCAATTTTTTTTTTTGAATTAAATTAAAGGGTTTTTTGGTTACCTACCCAAAAAGAACCCAGATTATTTTTCTCCTCTTTGTCTCTTCGCACATATGCGTTCTCTCTCTCTCTCTCTTGTCTCCTCTCGTGCCAACTTTGACTGTGTCAACAGTGTTGTCTCGCAGAGGTGCAATTGAATGATGTTGAATTTTAGATGCACGATCACATTTACATATATTTATTCATTGAATCATTAATTGATTAATCTATGATGAAAGATGATGCCAATTTTATATTGAATTTTCAATTTTGGTTTTGGGTTTTGAGTTTTTCTTATTTTTACTGTGTTAATGTGATGATCCAATGCCACGATGACTTAAGTTAATTTTAATTTTTTTCTTATTTATATGTTATTTAATAAATTTAATTAAATCCACCTAACCCGTTAGTCTCAACCCACCGCCCGACTAGCATCTTGCATCTTTTAGAACCTCAAGTGGAAGAGACAAAGAACAATGGACAAACTAATCAGTTCAAGCCTTTAAAGATTAAACCTGCTCTGATACCAAGTTAAAAATTAGAATGTAATAAACAGAAGAAGAAGAAACTTATAGAACTTGAATTTGTAAGATTCATAGCGTTCCTTTGTTTTTAGTAAAATTCATAGTTTTGTATTATGTTTCTTCAATTGTTCTATGTACGTACTCTAATTTTCAGCCCTCTTAATTAAATTCATAATGGACCTTGCATACCGTTTGGACCCAATTTTGCACCCTTCGTCGGCCGATTCTAGGCCGTTAGATGTATGGAAAATGAGGTGGAATGTGACAATTTTTTTTTTTTTTTTGAGATAAAGTACGATATTCATTGAATAGAGAAATACGTACATAATAAAGGATAAGGTGTTAACAATGGGCCTCAATAAAAACCTTACTGGGACTTTCAACTTGATTGAAGGAAAAAGAGTGTCCCGCACCAATTAACAATTAAGACTATCCTCTACTAATAAACCAGTAATAACATCAGAAGGTTCTTCAAACCAAGATAGAGGATGATCCAGCGTAAGACTCAACCGTGCAAGTTGATGTGCCACTTTATTCGTCTCTCTAGAGCCGAAGGAAATCTTCCATTGCTTAAACCCCTGAAGGATCTGCCGTGTATCTGCAAATAGATGACCAAGATGACCATGCAATGCTGATCCAGTATTTTGAATAGTCGCCACAACCAATAGAGCATCACCTTCCATTTATACCTGTTCCTCACACCAACGCTGCACAAACACAGCTGCTGCCCATGCAGCAGCAGCTTCAGCATGCAAAGCCGAATCAATTCGATACTCCCGACTCACCATTGCAGCTATGAAACCACCTGTGGCATTTTGAACGACAATCCCAACACCCCCACATGAACTATTCTCCTCCCAAGCAGCATCGAAATTACACTTGATCCAACCAAAGTTTAGGTGCTTCCATTGCTGAACACGAACTGTTGCTTCAGGCAATTGAACCTCATTCCATTTCTTGAATTTTGACAGCCACGTTTGAGGTTTAAGTTGGACATCTAAAGGGGATGCCGCAACACCATTCCATAAATACTCATTGCATACCTTCCATTCACTCCACACTAACACAAGAATCAACTCAAAACTATCCTTAGTTACTATTTTGGCCATGTTGGTCAACCACCCACCAAAACAGTCTTCGACCTTAGAAAACGAACGAATTCCCAAAGGGCTACCAAACCAAATAGCAGCAGAATGTGGGCACTGTAATAAAGCATGCACAACTGTCTCTGCCTCTTTATTGCAGAACCCACAAATATCCTCCGGAAGAACTCGTCTATTCTTCAAATTCACCTTCGAAGGCAATGCATCCATACACCCACGCCAAACAAAAATTTCGACTTTCCCTGGGACCTTGGCACGCCACAAAGCTTTCCATAAAAATTTTGTTTCCTCATTTAGTGTAGAGCCAACCGGTTCCTCCCCACCCAAACCATGACATGTTCGTGCCACAAAATAAGTACTCTTCGTTGTAAATACACCTTTCGATTCTTTAGTCCGTATCATGGAATCCACCAGACTAAATAAACTCAACGGGATACTTAAAATCAAGTTTGCTTCCTCCTCCATAAACCCGCTACTAATAAGACTTGTATTCCACCGTAAACCACCATTGTCCACCAACAAAGAGGGTACGGTAAGAGATGGGTGAACGTCTGCATCATATACAACGTTCTTGTTACCTAAGAAGTTCTTGATTCATTTCAAATGACACCTTAGGATTGACCACCTGTAAAATCTTTGTCGCATCCATTACCCCCTGAGAGTTAAATAGCTTTGTAAAGTAGTTGACAATAACATTCTCCATGCCACTTTTATCCTCATGCCAAGCCCTGGCCTCGTCGAACAAAACCATGTAACCCATTCCTCCTTTGTCTGCGATTTGCCCTTTGGTGGAAATACTTAGTATTTTGGTCACCCAGTTGTAACCAATTGTCCTTGGACCACTGACGCCAAAAAGCTTATTCTTGTGCCAATAGGGAATGCAACTTGGTATACAGTTCATGCCGTTGTGCGATGATTGTATACAGTTCATGCCGTTGTGCGATGATTGTCTCAGTGAATGGCTGCCCAAATAAAGAGTTCAACTTATCCTCCGTTTCTGTAATCTCCCCAGGAATAGTACGCTTTGTAGCATTCGCCCAATTAGTTAACTGCATCCTAGTTGCTTTAATTTTTTCCGTTACACAAAACATAGGTGAGCCCTGGAACACCATCTCCCACCCTAGCTTCACCGCAGCTCCACAACCTTCCTTTACCGCTCATCCGTCTTCATATTGAAACGTGTTTTTTTTTTTTTTTAATTTAATTTTTTTTTTAATTTTTTTAAACCAACTTGCTCCTTTATCTTAACGATTTTATAACTTGGGGCCTTTTTGGATATTAGTGGATATATATACTTTACAACCAAGATCAGATTGAGTTTTGTGAATAAAATTAACAACGCATGGATTGCGTATGCATGGAAAAACCAAAAAGAGTTGCAACGAATAAAGCTTGGGAAGATATTATTGCCACGTGGTTTATCTGGTCTTATGAGGCTTTTCGTTGATTAGTTTCTAAAGTGAAGATAATTTCAAACATGTCGGGATTAGGATTATCTCTTCTTCTCTTTCCATCCCTTTTCATCCTCTCCTCTTACATTCTCTATTTTATTTTTCTCTTTCAATAAAAAAATTAATATAAAATGTTGACATGGCTTAACTGTAACTATTCAAATAGGAGAGAAGGAAAAGAAAGCGAAAAAAAAAAAGAGAGAATCCTAATCCGTTAAGATGATATTTCACGAGTTAGGATTGCTGGACTCTACAAAATGATCACGCCATCAAGTAACATGGTGCTCTAATAAGGGAAAGGATTATCTCCAGATCCCTTCCTCCTAATCCATCAAATCAGGGAATTTATGCTGTTAGTAATGATTGCAAATGTTCTTCCAATCTTAAACTGGGTTTCTCCAGTTGAGATTGAGGGGGATTATTAAGTAATATAGTTAGTAAGTTTGTAAGTATTTGGTTAAGGTAGTTAGGATTTCTCTTATAAAAACAAAGTGTGTAATATTCATTTAGTTAGTTAATACAAATCCTATTTCTCTCTCTAAACTTTCTCTCTTTTCTCTAGAATCGCTTTTGTTTCTCTCGATCATCTTCCTCTTACTCCGTACCAATTCTTCATATTTTACAATGTAGTTAACATGGTATCAGAGTCACCAGGTCCACGCCATGGATTCTGGTGGTTTCTCTTCGTAGTAGTTTCCTAGTTAGTTTATCTTCAAATTTCCATTAGATTTTTTGTGCTTCCGTAATTGTTCTTAGGTTGAATTTTCTGCGATTGTTGTGATTGTTGGGTTGATTGTTTGATTGGGAGATTTCTCCACCGACGCCTTCACCATCTCCTTAAACGTTCCATCTTCCGAATGATCAATACGGAGTTCAAATCATAGAACTGGATGTTCATCGCCGGAATGAGTTTTGTCAGCCACCGCCTGGGGCGCGAGATCAAGAACCATGGATGAAATGTCTCTGGTATATGCACTAGCATTAACAAGAAGAAGAAACTTGAGGAAGAAATGAGCTTTGAGATCTACTTTTTGATGCAAATGAGCTAGATGTGATCATCCTTGATGCTTTCAAGAACCATACGCACGTGGTTGTCTACATTCCTCATATTCTATATTTCAGCTCGGAGGCACCTATGGTCCTGGCTGAAGCGTTGTCGATACAATAGTCAAGCATGGAGCTTTATCGAAAGTCAGGAGAATGAAAGGACATAGGCAATTCACATCAAGAGTTTTTGTTGATGATATATGTCAAGCAATTATGGCCAATATATGTACACCGTTATCCAGGTTTTCTGTATATAGTAGTCGAACCTTAATCATGGTGATTGAATCAATCACACTTACATGTAGAACTCACTTTCTGAATTCTTTGGTGGTGTTTGTTTGTTCAAGATTGCAAATCTTGAGATCTCTTCAAGTTCTAATTTGTGTGCTCTCCAACTATTTGAAGAATGGGTCAGTGAATTATTTGATCTCTACTTAATTCTTTAGTATGGAAGAAAGATTAGACATGTATGCAGTCCAAGTGTTTGTCAAAATGCCCAACTCAAAAGTTTCATGTGAAGGTTATGTTTTTTAGTCCATTTTCTCCAAATTCTTGAATAATTAGAATGAATCTTTTTTGGGTTTTTTGGTGGTTGTTAACGGTTTTGACTAATTGCTCTAGACAAGATAATTCTTTGTTCTCTCTGGGTTCTGCATCTTTCATGTTTTGCTACTTATTTACTCTCTTGGCAAACTAAGATCCTTACTTCCAATTGTCCCTGATAGTTCTAAAAGAGGGGTTAGGTTCAGGCCTATGCTGGAATCAAAGGCTGCGTGAGGATGAAGGTACTGCACATCCAGCTCACCAGATTTGTGATCATCGTATTAGGCACAAAGTTGTTCTGATTCAAGAATGGCTTAGAGTTGTACACAGAGCAGCAAACACACTTTCTTTTGACTTGGAGCCATCTTTCTTTTGCCTTGAAGCAGTCTGCATTTGAAGGTTTATAGAAAGCGCTGGTCACATTCTAAAATGCATACATGGCATTGTTGGGCTGAAGATTGACTTGTAGAAATGAATCTCTCTCTTTGATGGGTTTAATTTTTTCTGCGAAATGGTTATTCAGATTATGGTTTGTGCCAAAATGAGAAGTGTAATGTTTGAGAAGATTGTTCAGGTGTTTATTGAGGAGTTTGTGCAATATGTTTTCTTATCACAGCCTATAATTTCATAGTCTAACCAACTCAGTTGTTAGCATGAATCTATAGTAAGTCCGATTATACGATGAAGTTTGAAGAAGTTGTAAACGGTAAATCTCACGAAGGGTAATTCCGTGATATGAATATGCAAATCCCACGAAGGGTAGAAGAAGTTGTTAACAATAAATCCCACGAAGGGTAATCTTGTGTTTTGAGTAGGTAAATCCCACGAAGGGTAATACTACATAGATGTTGATTTTTAGTTGTTGAAATTGTGATGGCCGATGCCATTGTTCAAAGAAGTTGTTTCTTTTTTTTGGTAAAATCCACAAAGGGCGACCCTGTGGTGCTATAGTTAAGGCCGATGCCACACTATAGTTTGTCAATTTTCTCTTTTTGCAAAATATTAAAGGCCAAAGCCAAGTTGAATGAGATTGTTGACGGTAAATCCCCGAAGGATAAACCCATAGAAGTTGTTATACCGCCATGAGGGTGTGCTACGACTATTTTATAGAAGGCTGTCCTTTGAGAAACTCATGCTAGAGGCAGAGGAAGGGTGTTAATTCCAGCTACTGTTATTCTTCTACCATTTGCTTCATAACCATTACTTTTAATGTTCTGATTCTCCATTTCAGCAACGAACTTACAGAATTTTGGGCACTGATAAGAATTTGAGGCAATTGATGGCTAGATATTGAGTTTGTGCATCTAGTCCAAGTATGAGACCATTGTTTGTGACTGATGGAAACCGAATTATTAGCAAAGCAAGTGGGGATCATTTCAGGTCTTAGATTGGGATCAAGGAAAATAAGCTACATAAGCAAGCCTATTTGGAAACTAATGAAAATACAAGTGGGGTTCCTCTAGAACCAAAACTTGGTTAGTTGGATTTGCCCAAGAAGATGAAAAGTAAGACAGGAAAGGGGCAGCATGGAAAATTGAGCAGTGCCACTAAATTGGTTCTTTTTCTACTGAACATAAGGATTGCAAGATTGCATTGGTTCAAGTTTGTTATGTTTTTCTGGGTTTCATAATAGTGATTGCAAATGTTCTTCCAATCTCAAACTGGGTTTCTCCAGTTGAGTTAGTAAGTTTGTAAGTATTTGGTTAAAAGTTAGGATTTCTCTTATAAAAACAGAGTGTTTAACCTATCTCTCTAGAATTTATTTTGTTTCTCTCGATCATCTTCCTCTTCCTCTGTACCAATTCTTCATCTTTTACAATGTAGTTAACAAAAATTTGATCCAACGACTACAAACAGGGGCCCACTTTAAAAGTTATAATAACTTCAGTTTTAATGGCATAGATTCCTCTAATTTGATGGATTAGGAGGAAGGGATCCGCAGAGGATCCCTTTCCTTCTAATAATTCAAGATATTGTGCAACAAGAATAGGGTATCAAACCAACCAATCAATCAAATCACTCTCACACTCTATGCATCTGTCAATCCTTTGCCCCATTTGTGGCATTTACAAACTCCCTAACTCGATGACCGACATCTCCGACTAAGGTGAAGCTAAAGGGTACATTGTACACATCGAAGTCTACAACCGACGACGAAATTCCCTACAAAAGAAGTTCAGACCGTGGTGCTTCGTTATAGTAAAGGGTCATTTGCTTGCTTTCTAAGGCAAGTTGGTGTTCTATATAACTAAACTACGTATTAATAAAATTTTGTTTGTCACCAAAATTCTAGTAAATTACCACTCTAACACTCTCATTAGAACTAAACAAAATAAAAAACGCGGACAATTTAGTAATTACACATAACACAAATATTATTGTTTTTTATACTATCGCCATGTAAATATAGCATATCCTATTTAAACATTCAAAACTAAATAAATAAACCTCACTTTTCACCTCCTCTTCCTCTCCCTACATTACCCATGTTCTACTACCTTTTCATTTCCCTTCTTTATTTGTCTTTTTCTTTTTTGAGTTATCATCCGTGCTCATTAATGATAAGTTGTAGTAAAATAATAATAAAAAATTAGTTTCACAATTAGTTTCACACATGGAGCGTGTGTGTCGATTGCTAGTTTTTATGAGAACAACCTTGTTTTCAAGGCTAGAGAACTCAAGGCCGAGAGGTTCCTTCCTTGGCCATGATCGTTTGTACTAGAATTTTAGTTTGTGCACACCCATAAAGAAGTATGCATTTGGCCATCCGGCCGCGTATTGACACGCCCACATTCAACACCAAGTAGGTCTTGTAATTTTTAGGATATACATATTAGCACACCTGGTGAGATCCATAGTGCCAATCATTCATGATGATTAATAAAAAATTTAATCAATTGTCTTAATTGGGCATATTCAACGACGAAAAACAATAATCTTATCAAAATTACATTCAGTTCACGCACACTCAGAACAAAGTATATGCTGGCCATTTCGTCGTGTATTGGCACGCCCACATTTAAAATCAGATTCCTGAAGGATGTAGTTAGGTCCTATATTTACAACGTGTGGGCCACGTAGGTCTTGTAATTTTTAGAGCTAATAGAATTTGGAGCTTGATTCTGTAAGTTGTAGGAAAAAAGAACTAAAGATAACGTAGTTAAAAACTAGTGATAGAATGTCCGATGCAATTTATGAAGAAGATTACCTTAGGGTTGCTTCGACGCCTGATCAAATGGCGTTTAAATTTGGGGTTGTAGATAATAAATTGAAGGCATATATGAGGTGGCTTGTTAAAGATGTGGCACTATTATTGTCATTGAAAAGATGAATGTGATTTGATTGTCATCTGAAGATGATAGTGAAATTTGTTCTTGCGGGAATATGATTTTTTATTGGATTTGTATAAATAATAAATTGCATACGGTTTGTGAAGGAAGGATGTTATTGAATTGTTTGACATTGTTGCTTAAAGCTCTGATAACTTTGATCTTGTGATCAGTAAAGTTTGTTGAAGGGGGTAGCATTCCATTTCCATCTTGCAAATAAGGCATATATATTGTCAAGGTAAATTTTAGAAACAATATATTTCCTTATTAGTGTCATTATTCGTCTTCTAATCACTTTATCAACTACGTCATTTTTTTTATACAATTAAGGGTGGATGAATAAATTAATATCGAACTTGTCATGCAGATTCAAATATAAAACTTCTTACTTACAAATGTAAAATAATACTACTTAAATCATAGAATCAACTACGCCTTTTGATTTCACATTTTTGTGAAATATATGCATGAATTATCTACATATAACTAGAATGTAGAACCTCCATTTTTTAAAGGGAAAACAAATGAAAAAGGCTTGAAAACTTTGAGTTTTAATTATAAGGATAAAATAAAGAGTAAAGTGAATAGTACCAGGATTGACTTTTTAGTGTAAAAATGTGATTTTTCGTTAAAGTAAACAATACCACGGGCTTTTCGTTAAAACTCCCTTTTTTTAATATGTCTTACATCAATAACTTTTTCTTTTCTTTAAAAGGGACTTTTTTCTTTTCTTTAAAAGGGGGACAACAGGTGGCAAGTCACGGTAATCCACCCATTTTGTGTAAGATCCCACATTGCCCAAGGGAGTGATCCTTATATGTATATTTTCATCCCTACCTAGCACGAGGCCTTTTGGGGGCTCCCCGGCTTCGGGTTCCATCGGAACTCCGAAGTTAAGCGAGTAGTGCGCGAGAGCAATCCCATAATGGGTGACCCACTGGAAGTTCTTGTGTGAGTTCCTAGAAACAAAATCGTGAGGGCGTGGTTGGGGCCCAAAGCGAACAATATCGTGCTACGGTGGTGGAACGGACCCGAGATGTGGTGGGAGCCCAGGCCGGGATATGACAATTTGGTATCAGAGCCTAACCCTGATCGCTTATGTGCCGACGAGGACATCGGGCCCCTAAGGGGGGTGGATTGTAAGATCCCATATCGCTCAGGGGAGTGATCCTTATATGTATATTCTCATTCTTACCTAGCACGAGGCCTTTTAGGAGCTCACCGGTTTCGGGTTCCATCGGAACTCTGAAGTTAAGCGAGTAGTGCACGAGAGCAATCCAATGATGGGTGATCCACTGTGAAGTTCTCGTGTGAGTTCCCAGAAACAAAACCATGAGGGGCGTGGTCGGAGCCTAAAACGGACAATATCATGCTATGGTGGTGGAGCGGGCACGAGATGTGGTGGGGGCCCGGGCTGAGATGTGACATTTTGGGGGCCAGGAAGACTCACATAGGCATTTCAACCTCCCCTAGCCACAAGTCTGGCTTCCACACCAGCAACAAGTTTCAAACCCGAGACCTCCAAGAAAGTGCTATTAACACACCTATTTTTAATCCGTCTCACATCAAAAACTTGACTTTTATCACCAGGAAAGTGCTATTAACACACCTATTTTTACTTCCAATACACCCACTTTACCTCTCACATACTTCCAATACACCCACTTTACCTCTCACACACCCTTGTCAAGTTTGATCATTGATCTTCTTCAATTCATTCGATCCGGATAGCCGAATCCTATATCACTATTATAAAAATAAAAAATAAAAAATAAAGGTGCGTAAGAAGTAAAAACAAGTGTAGTGAATATCACTACTTTTACCATCCACCTATATATAGTTTAATATCAAACTAAAACGGTATATGCGCACTCTGAGCAGGTGGATTCTCTCTCCGTTTTCCATTTTTATGGTAGGAGGGGATCATCGGTAGTATATACCTCCAAATATGTAAATAGACATATTTAGTAAAATTCTATAATTAATACATATAGAAAAAAAAAAAAAAAATCTTTTCTTTCATAATTTCTTCCCGATGAAATTTAGTAAACATGATTGATGAATACATTTTACAGCATGTCATTTATAATCATCCAGCTGTTAAGAGCTAAGTTTGATATTGCATTCTAAATATGGATAAAAACTCAAAAATGTTCCGTACCATCGAAAGAATGGCTGGCGTTGAGATTTTGATGCTATCCCACACACTAATCGACCCTAGCTATATAGCGTCAAACACAATGTTGTATCTCTCGCAACTACTCTAATATATTCTCGGTCTTCAACCTTTCTCTCACTAAACCGTAGAGAGGGAAAGAAGACCTTTTTCGATCGAGACCAAAGAAATTAACATGGGTAATTGTGCTAGTGAACCAAAGACCAAGGGTGATGATGCTGCTGCAGTGCCAGCACCGGAGCCCAGGAAGGAGTCGGATGAGGCCGAGGAGGTGAACGCTGAGCAGCTGCAGGAAGAAAACAAGGCCGAACAAAATACCGATGGTGGTCATAACAAACAACCCTCTCTCGGGGCCTTGCTCAAGGAGGTATACAATAATAATTCTTCTAATTATTTAATATGATTATAGGCCAATTAAGTTCAGTTTCCTATATAGTGATATGGAATATGGGCACATAAATACTGCTAAAAATGAGTCTCACATTGATGGAAGGAAGGACCTTGCATGAGCTGTTATAAGAGGTTGGGTTACTCCTCATATTGCCAATTGGTTTTATGGTGGAACCTCAACTTTTTTCATGGTATCAAAGCAGGTTGTCCGACATGTGAAGCCAAACGGCCACATGTGCTCCACATCACCTTGTTGTGTTATTCACGTGTAAGGCTCGAAAATTCGTCACACGTGAGAGGGCGTGTTGAAAATGAGTCTCACATTAATAGCAGGAGGAACCTCTTGCATGGGCTTATAAGAGGTTGAGCTACTCCTCGTATTGCCAATTGATTTTATAGTGAATCTCAACTTTCTTCAAATACGTACATGCGTGTATTCGACATATCACCATTTGATTTTAGCGGCTTGCGTAGGTTTGTGTCCTAATTAACTTTAAATTTTATTGACGTCCATTATTGAATCAAACATAACAAACTTGCATACGTTTTGGACATATTAGATACATTTTTACATAATTTCCTATGTTGGCTTATAAGATTTGTATGCTTACAATTACAACTTAAGTTTCCCTCGCAGGTATTTCATTCATTCAAAATTTCGTGCTCGCGCATATTTTTGGTAATTTTGTGGATGTACTTAATATTGATACATCCCTTAATCTATGAACTCAGGAAGAAGAGAAGAGAGCCGAAGTGGCGGCAAAGGTAGAAGAAGAGAAGATAGCTGAAGTTGCGGAAAAGCTAGAAGAAGAGAAGAGAGCTGAAGTTGCGGCAAAGCTAGAAGAAGCAGAAGAAAAGCCAAAGACCACTGAGAAGAATGAGGAGATAGCGGTTGAGCTCGAGAAATCACCTCAAGCAGCAGCACCAGCTGCAGTTACCCAAGAAGACAAGAAATTTGATATTGAGGAGAAGAGAGAGGAGATAGCGGTTGAGCTCGAGAAATCACCTGAAGTAGCAGCACCAGCTGCAGTTACCCAAGAAGACAAGAAATCTGATATTGAGGAGAAGAAACCCGAAGAGGTAAAGGAGACAAAACCAGAAGAGAAGCTGTTAAAACCAAAAGAGATCAAGGAGACAAAAGCAGAAGAGACCACGATGACAAAAACAGAAGAGACCAAGGAGACAAAACCTGAAGTGAAAGACCAAATATGAATTAAACCTGCTTATAAGGGACTGGCTGGGGGCTTGTAACTAGTAACAGATAGATTGCCACTTGTCATGTGTCTGTTTGTTCCATTTGCATGTTGGTTCCTTAATATGTAAGCTGTATGTTAGCTTAGTTGTCAAGCTAAGATTGGCAAGCTATAAATAGTTTTGGTGTTACAGTTTGGGCGGTTAAATGAAAGGTTGATTTCTGCAAATCCCCTTTCTTCTTCTTCAAGAACTTTAGCTGTGTTCTTTCAATTCTTGCTTCAACAAACCTTAGCTTTCAATAAAGTTATTATGGTATCAAAAGCCAATGATTCTTCTGTGGAATTACTGATTTCTTGATTACTTTTCTTCGGTCTGCTGCTTGAATCGCTGCGATTCTTCAAGAAATTTCAAGATTTTTGGGGTGGGGAGGTTGTGCGTTCTTTCCTTCGATTCTCAGCAAGATCTTTTCTTCAGTTCCTTTTGTATTTCTGTCGAATTGGAAAGGCCGATGCCATAGATTGCGTTTGATCTGATTTTATTTTGATTTGATGAATTGATAAACAGCGATGTAATATGTGTATGTTGGATTGGTGAAGACCGAATCAGTACCAATTAATTGATCAAAGGCCTAAAGTCAGCTCAGTGTGTTTCTCTTTTTGTTCTTGATCTGTGGTTCCAGTATTCCAGTATCTCCTTGATTCGATTTGATTGCTATACTTTTATTGCTTGAACTACATGATGGCTTCTTCCTCTCTCAAAATTAAGAGCATTCTAGGCATACTAACAATTCGCCTCAATGACACCAATGACTCCAAATTGGCCCTTCAATCTAAGGCTGTGCTGAGAGGGTATAAATTGCTTGATCAATTAGATGGCACTTCTGTTAGTCCACTAATTTGGCATTCTTAAGTTTGTTAATTGCCACTCTATCTGATATTGCTATTGAGCATGTCCTTGGATGCAAACTGTCAGTGAAGCTAGGTCTATCCTTAAAGACAGTGTCCAAATCCAAGATTAATATGCTTAAAACTGAATTTCAAACCATACAGAAGGGTGGATATAGTATTGATAAGTTTCTGTCCAGGCTTAAATCTATCAGGGATCAGCTGATTGCTGCCGGAGAAGTTGTGTCTGATAATGATTTGATGATATCTGCTCTTGCATGCCTTCCTCGTGAATATGCTATCATTCGAACTGTTATTTTAGGCAGGAAGTCCTCAATTCACTAAAGAAGTTTAGAGCTCGGTTATTGAATACTGAAGGGAACATTGAGAGTATTGAGAATACACTGTCTACTTCTATGGCTGCAATGTACGTTCAAGGTTCTACTTCTCAGATTCACCGTGGACAAGGTTGATGGTGTGTCTTGTGCCACTGTTGTCACCATAGTCTAGTGATTCTCTCAAGAGAGATCACAGGAGGACGCATGCAAATTTAGCCGAACCTCTCTAAATTTTTGTGTTTGTGTAGGGCGTGTTTACTTTATCGTTCGTTTATTATTCAGTACATTCACTTATCAACATCCTAACTGTTTGCATAACACCAGAGTGTATAGAAAAACAAGAGCAGCAAGGGGGTTTAAAAACTACACCGATTAGACCCATCATCTTTTCTTCCCTGAAAACTTCTTGTCATTCTCTTCATCTTTAATCTTGTTACTCCAAGAGTGTTCAGATTTCTTCCAACCAAACATCTTCAATCTGTCATCGAATGGGAATTCTTACTAAACACCTTCCATCTGTCAAACTCATCTACCACTCCAATATTTGTGGATTCTTTTAGTCTTTGCATCATAGGGACCGAACTTCATACCTTGGGTAGTACATCTGCACAGGTCAGAATCCATATACCGTTGATTAATAGCTTATTTGGTTAATTGTACATAGCTTGTTTTTCGGTCAGTTTTTGTACAACAAAGTACATTTACTTTAATTACATTGATTTGATTAACTTTTAGTTCTGCCAGCTTGGTTCAATGGCATTCTATCTTTCGGTGTTTTAAAAACGAACCATGTTGTTTGAGTATAAAGATAGAATCTGTTACATTCGTTCTGTTTTGAAATCTTTAAGTGAGAATTTAAGCAGAGTACTCCTTTTATTTTGGTACTGCAGACTCTTGTATTTCTTGGGATCACACATAAATTATCTCTACGTAAAACTAGCTATTTGCTAGTAAAACATCATGGGTATTGCGTTTCAAACAATTTATGTGACATCCCACATTGTCCAGGGGAGTGATCCATATATGTATATTCCCATCTCTACCTAGCACGAGGCCTTTTGGGAGCTCACTGCTTCGGGTTCCGTAGGAACTCCGAAGTTAAGCGAGAAGGGGGCTAGAGCAATCCCATGATGGGTGACCCACTGGGAAGTTGCTCGTGAGTTCCCAAAAACAAAACCGTGAGGGCGTAGTCGGGGCCCAAAGCGGACAATATCGTGCTACGGTGGTGGAATGGGCCCGGGAAGTGATCCGCCCGGGCCGGGATGTGACAATTTGGTATCAGAGTCTAACCCTGGCCGTGGTGTGTCGACGAGGACGTCGGGCCCTAAGGGGGGTGGATTGTAACATCTCACATCGCCCAGGGGAGTAATCCTTAAATGTATATTCTCATCCCTACCTAGCACGAGGCCTTTTGGGAGCTCACTGGTTTCGGGTTCCGTAGGAACTCCGAAGTTAAGCGAGAAGGGGGCTAGAGCAACCCCATGATGGGTGACCCACTGGGAAGTTGCTCATGAGTCCCCAAAAACAAAACCGTGAGGGAATGGTAAGCCCAAAGCGGACAATATCGTACTACGGTGATGGAGCGGGTCCGGGAAGTGGTTCCCCGGATGTGACAATTTACACCATTTAAATGCTGCACTACATGCATGTTTTTAGTTGAATGCGAACGTTGCGAATGATTCTGGTTTACCTGACTCGAATGATTCTGGTTTACTTGAGATTTGTAGATAATTACTTTCTTTATCCGTACCCAGTCACCTAAGTTAAAGAGGCGCAAAATCTCTGTTGTTCATGATTTTCCCCCGGGCTGTGGACGATATGGCCAGTTGAGCAATTTGGGACGTGATAAGGAGGCCTTTTCTGTGGGTACCATAGTATACTGACTGCACCGGCAGAGAGTTTGGTTAGTGGCGGTAAAAATGGTGGTGGACATGGCGCTGAAAATCCGATGCTCTCAACTGGTCAGGTCGAGGATACTGTTTTGATTAGCTGGTAACGGTGTTAGTGTTGGGGATACAGTTGAATCATTAACAGCCCTTGAGAATGAAATATCTGATTGGTTGAAGATCCAACATCAGCTTGGTGCTGCTGCTTCCAGAGGAGGAGATGGTTGCTGTTCTGCCAGATAGAAATATTTGTTCACCACCTGACGGATCCATCTCCGTTCCTATTGGCTTAAGTAGTCCATTGGAAGTTTGAAACTTAAATCAAATAGACCAGTAAAACCAATTTACATTCTAACGGCATCTGTCAGCCTTCTCGATGTTGAGAGTTTGTTATAACTATTTAATTTCAGATGCAGATAGCTTCCTCTGCAAGCCTCTTTTAGTTTAGACATGCACTCGATGATGCTTGCGAGCGCAAGAGACGAGACTGAATTATTGTATTATTGCTTGATTATGTAAAACACACTACAATTTGAGTTTACATTACCGTGCTTAACAAGCTAACTTATCGCCAATCGCCCTGACATGAAAGTAAAGTGCTAGCAGTAGCTACTCTAGTAGTGAAATCAGCTAACTAAAGATTACAAGTAATATCTGAATAAGCTTAATTTCAGTGAGTGAATCGATAATACTCAAATCATCCATATAATATAATTTACGGGATCTCCAAATACATAACATACCAAGTAGTTTTTATGTGCAGAGCAGAAAATGCTGGTAGCTAGCAAGCAAAGAAAAAACTGAGAGAAAGAGGGGTCAGAAATGGCTGAATCATATCACCCTAAGACGGACAGACGGACAGACCATCAAATCTTATTTGAATAACTGCAAATTATTCTACTCCGTCCTAACCTAAAAATTATGTCAAGATACGATGAATGACCAGATCTTAGAGTATCAACCCAACGAAAATGCCAACGGATTGATGAGCAAGTGAGCGAATCAGTCCACAACATCGAGATCTTGAAACCGTTTGCCCGATATGGCTGCTTCCATGACATGGTGCGGGCCAATATCCCCACCATTCTCTAAGAAGGACTTGGCCAAATTGTCAGACCAGCCGCGCAACAGCGTGACCTCTGGATGAGGCAATGCAATTGAGGGCAAATTCCAGTACCGAATATCCCAAAATAGAATGTGAGGCACCGCATCATCCCCATACCCTTTGTTCTTAAACATGGTCCTTATGGCCTCATACCGAGTCTCCCAGGCGTCGCCATCATAAAAATCGGGGTGTATGTCGTGGTTGAAGATAAAGAGCTTCTGGATCATCTGATCTGGCTTCAAATTCTCATTGACAGTCACTTGGAGAATCAAATCAAACACCTTTTGCAAATGCATTACCATGCAGCAGTCCATTCCCATCAAAAAGGACAATTTGGACTTTAGGCCATCGTTGAGAGGTACCGAATACAGATGAGGAAAACGAGGCAACATAGCATGATCGTCTCCAGCAGCAGCCGAAAGAGGAGCACAACTGATCAGCTTTCCTTTCCAGGCCGCCTCTTCATTCATTTCACTCACAAAAAGTCCTAAACTGGCCGGCAATTCCATTCCATCGCCCATAAATCTGTCCATGTCACATACAGCAAAGCAGTTTCTGAATTTGCCACCCTCCTTGTGCTTGCTCAGCAATGCATCCCACTGAAGCTCAGCTGCCTCCCCAACATTCGCATCTTGCAGATATCGTATGATTAAATGTGGAAGCAAAGCATCGGGCTTTATGATGCAGCTTAAATTTCCGTTGCTTGCTGTTGCTGCTGCTGCTTTCACCTCCTCCAAATATTTAATATCCACACCGCAACTTCGCGGGTTGAACCCACCCTGACGCTTGTAGTACTTTTGCAAGGGCGCCAAGAACTCCTTTCTTAGCCGCTCCCAATGATCATCCTCCTTTGATGGTTGATCTGGCTGTTGCGGTTGTGACACGAAAGGGAAAAGCCGCCTGGCAGTGCTTTCGAGCAGAGCAATGGTGTGGATGGCGTGGGCATCGGAGGGGAAAGTGGTAAGTAAACAATCTGCGGCCTCGGAGACGTAGAGGTCAGCAAAAGCATCAGCATCAATAGGACGTATAACAGAATCATCCTCCACAGAATCATCTTCGTCATCGTCGTCATCAGTTAAATAATCAGACAGCTTGAGTTCCAGCTTCTTGTTCTTCATCTTTCGGATATCGGACTTGAGCCGCTCCATGAAAACATCCATAGCTCGGTCGTGCAACAACCTGTAATGCAGATCGCAGCTGTATCTCTCGCGGTGTTTCTCCTTCATCTCCTCCACCTCCGTCTTCTGCTCACCCTCCGGAAGGAGAAGGCTGTAGAGAATCCGGACAAGGGTGTATAATCCCTCGAAAGAGTCGAGGTTGCGCGCGAGAGTTTTGGGGTGGTTTTGGTGGAGCCAAGATGTGGCTGCGGACAAGGCTTCCGGATAGAAGTGACTTCCAGTAGAGAGGTTGAAGATAAGCTTGAGGGTGGTGAGGGGGTTGTGGGACCAGGCGACCGGGAGCTGCTGCTTGAGAGAGTTGATAAGGGCAGTGTCAGTGTGGGAATTATACCCGGCGGATGCTGGTGGTGGTCGCACGTTGAAAAAGAGATCAAGGCATGGATCACCGTAGGAGGAGGAGCAAGCCATGATATGAGGCTCAGCAGCAGCGTTGGCAGCCTTGGACGCCATTAATCTTCTTGGGAGGTGGAATTGCGGAGGAGGACCGACACCAACCAACCTTGTCGGTGAACAAGCTGAAGGAGAAGGAACAATGTTGGCTGCTGCCGCTTTCAGAACCCTCGCCAGATTCATCTCTAATTCTCAAATTCAAATTCAAATTCAAATTCTGTCTCTCTCTCTCTCTGGTGGGTGGGAGGGAGTGGGGTTGTGGATTAGGTTTAGGGTTGGAGAAGAAGAAGAAGAAGATATGAGAATATCAATTGGGTTTGGAAACTTGGCCAGCAAGGACTTTCCATTCTCAGACTCACAGGGAAAATAAATGAAAAAGTTGCTGCCTTCCTTGTTCGGCTAACCACCACGTTATATCATTATCACACTCCTACGAACAGGAATGCAAGCAGGCAATTTTAACTTAGGATTCTTTTTACTTACTTTTATTTGTTCGGACCCAAAGAAGCAGGAAATTTACTCATATTTTTAATCTTAGGTTGGATATTTAATATGGCTTTTTATATTATCATCCTACAAAATAAATGCACCCCACATTAAAATTTAATATTAAATAACTTATTTATCCTATTATGTAATGATAATTTTAACCTTGTCAAGTTAAAGAAAAAAAAATTTCTTTGACCTTGTCAAGTTTAAAAAAAAAAAAAAAAAAAAAAATCTAAATACACTCCAAATCACTTTTAACATATTATTTATCCTCTTTAACTATCAAAATCTCTCTGACCCTCCATTGTTGAACAAAACTTTAATCAATGAAACTACGAATATGTTGATTGAGAAAAATTATTTTTGAAGAATGAAATACGAAATCAATGTTTCGAAAGCTTCACATGAGATAAGACTTCATATAATTTATTGTTGTAGTGATTTTGACAACATTGATAATTATTTAATCTTACTTTTGCTACGTTATTCAAGCTTCTATGTTTTCATCTTTTAGGGATCATAGAGATTACATAAAGAATTAAACATCTAAAATGACCACCAAATATTAAAAACAGACGACATGGGTTTTAATGGTGGAATTGAAAACAACCCGCATATGCTTTAAATCCCAAGCGGCATATTTTGTCAAAATTCCAGTCGGTATTTTTTGCCCAAATCAAAAGCTTTATAAGATTTGAGAAATGTGGGATGTATAGAAAATATGGGGTTCATGTAGAAAATGTAAGGTGTATATTGAGAATGTGAGGTGTGAGGGTATTATAGGGAAGTATGTGGGGTGTACTTAGATAATTTTTCATTGAAAAGGTAAATGTGAAGTGTATTAAGTATGTAAAGTTTATTCAACAATTTAAATGATGTTAATATAATAAGTCATTTAATATTTGTTCACTTATTTATACAGGCAGTCAATTTTCATTTGAATTTATTTATTAATGGCTACAATAAGAGATGCATTTATATGAAATGGATTCGTCGTTAGATGACGTCTATGTCCTAGGCATTAAACAGACAGTACAATAACTTGGAATCGTTTGTAAAAAGATTTAACTTCGGAGAATTTTATTTCCTTGATTATGAAAGCACTCGTATTTATGCTGTAAATTTTACAAACGCATGTGTTACAAATTTTACAACACATATATATAGGACAACTATTGCATCTATCTCTGCTAGAAATTTTACAAATGGGATGTATGTTTATGACACCCAACTTGCTTAGAAGATGATCAAATTGTGAAGTACTTAAGGCTTTAGTGAACACGTCCGCTAATTCTTGAATTGTTTTTACATGCGCAGTGTGTAGGGGTGGGCACTTAGAACCGAAAACCGAAACTGAAACACAAACCAAATCGAACCGCACCGAACGGTTTGGTTTTGCAGTTTTAAAACAGTTTCAGTTTTGCGGTTTTAAAACGGTTTCAGTTTTGAAATCAAACCACAACATAGAAAACGGTTTGGTTTCTGTTTTGGCTTTTGAAAACCGCACCAAAACCGAACCGCATCACAAATATTAATAAATATTTAATTAAATGTCCATATTAGATTTCATGTTTTAATTGGTTGTTTGTTAGAATCTATACACTTAGTATGGACTCAACCACACTAGAATATCATCATTCATCACTTTCTTTTGTTCATTAACTTGAAGGACCTTTGTTATTTTATACCATCACACACACATATATGTACAAGGGTGGCCTAATCTTGTTATCAAGAGTCGAACAATGATCCAACGAAGTCCACTCATTTGAAGCATGATATCACATATTCTAGTATGAAAGTTTCGCTCACGTTTAATGAATTCAAATTTATTAAACTTGTTTTATGATAAACATTGTAAGGGACACCCTTTTGTTGGACAAACATGTTTTAACATCACAACTACATGCAACATGCTAATTGTTTACATAACAAATGTCTTTTTCCTATTGCTATTTGGAAATGCTTATTAATATGTTAAATTGCAAATTGTACATTTTTTTCTTAAAAATCAAACCGAAACCGTTTGAAACCGCACCGAACCAAACCAAACGGTTTGGTTTCATTTCAATTTTGGCTTCAAAACCGCATCGAACCGAACAGCAAAAAATTTCGATTTCGGTTTTGATTTCACTCAAAATCACACTAAACCAAACCGTGCCCACCCCTAGCAGTGTGGACCATGTTAGTGTTTGAGCTACTTTTAAGCTAGATTTTACTATGTAATTGTAATCAATTCAACAAGAAATTGAAAATGAATTTACAGATGAAATGACAGGGATGAACTTTCAAGAAGGAGAGTACGTTGATCTCTTCGTATTCACGTTGGATTCGATCCTACAAACTCGCCTGCAAACTTAGCTTTATAGCCGTTGCAATTACATCAAAGCACCGTGACTATGATCATGTGCAACACAAATGCTTTCACTTAATTTCTAACTAACTGGACACGTGGCAAGATACATACCATTAAGATGTTTTAATCTTGTCTGTTCAATACACAGTTTGATTAACACCTACTCTAACACTTAGAATAATTTCGATCTTCACTTTTTCTTCCTTTCTTCTACTACACAGCATCCATGATCTAGCTGCCATGCTTATCCACCAATATTCCCTTCTAAGATGGTAGCTAGTTTGACTCCAAGTTTCTCTTTGTGTGTGCAAAATCAATATTTAGGAAGTGCCTTCGTGAAAATATCAGCAAGTTGATCTTCTGATTTGCAATAGATCAATTTAAAGATGTTTGACTGTAATACTTCTCGAATGTAATGATACCGTCTTCCAATGTGCTATGTTCTTTGATGGAACGCTGGATTTCTTGTCATAGCAATGTCAGATGTATTGTCATAGTAGATAGGGGTAGCTTCAACTTGATCTTCACCAAAATCTTGAGTACAAACCTTAACCACATAGCTTAAGTGGTTGCTTCAGTTGCACTCATATGCTCAGCTTCAGCTGTTAACAAAGCAACACTATGTTGTTTAACCGAGGCCCAAGAGAAGACCCCACTTCCAAATGAGAATGCATATGTAGAAGTGTTTTTTATATCAGTTTCATCACCACTTCAATCACTGTCACAACAGCCTATGAGAATTGATTCTTTGCCTTTCTCATATTCAATCTCATAGTCTAATGTGCCTTGTATAGATATATGAGCACTCTCTTTGCTTCTCCAAATGCTTCTTGGTTGGCCCATGCATGAACCTAGCAAGTAGGCTAGCTGCAAACATAATATATGGTCTAGTTGCAGTAAGATACAAAAGACTTTCAACCAATTATCTATAGACATTCTCATCTGTTTTCTCACTCTCATCATCTTTATTGAGTTTGTCACTCAAGACCAATAAAGTGCTAACAGGTTTGCAGTCTTTCAACCCAAATTTCTACAGTAGACTCACTACATATTTCCTCTAGTTAATGAAAATTCCATATTCATATTGAAGAATTCCCATTCCTAGGAAACAATATAGTAGTCCCAAGTCTGTCATTTCATATATTATCATCATGTCACACTTAAAATCTTCCAACAACTCAGTGCTACTACCTGTATCGATAATGTTATCTATATAGATATGGACAATGATGCTTTCATTTTCTCCCCTTAACTTCATATACAATGCTACTTCACTAGGACTTCTAGTGAATCCACAGTTATGCAAGTGAGCATCAATTTCTTCATACCAAGCCATTGGTGCTTGCTTTAATCCATACAAAGCTTTCTTAAGCTTGTAGACCTTATTTTTTGCACCTTGCATAACATAACCGTAGTAAATCAATGAAGACTTCCTCTTGTAACACACCGTTCAGAAAAGCTGATTTCACATCTAATTGATACAACTTCCACTTTTTTTGAGCTACTAAAGCTATAAGTGTTCTAATGGTATCCAATCTTGCAACAGGAGCAAAGGTTTTTGAAATCAACCCCAGGCTTCTGTGTATACCCCTTAGCAACCAGTCTTACCTTGTGCTTCTGAATTGTCTCATCTAGATTCAATTTGGTCTTGTAGATCTATTTCACTCCAACAATGGGTTTGCCTGATGGTCTATCAACCAATTCCCGGGTCTTATTCTTCTCTATCATCTCAATTTTTGCATCCATTGCTTTCTTCCAAGTTATATTAGTGGCAGCATCAGATGAATTCTCTGGTTCAATCATGCTTATATTACATCTAGCATAGATTTCACTCAGTCGTCTCTCTTTGACCGGTTCAGCTCTAGCTATGCTTTATTCACCATTCTTAGTTTGAGAATCAATGAATTCATGTGTTGCACACTTGGTCCCTTCTAGGTGAATTCCATGATCAATCTCGAGTAGATTGAGATTAACAGGAAATGTTAACTTGTCACAATTTTCTGCATTCCAATTCCAATTACCCTTCTCCTTAAACACAACACTTCTTGACAGAAAAATCTTGTTGGTACTTAAATTATAGGTCTTGAATCTTTTCTTTATCTTCCTATATCCAACAAATATATCTTTCAAGGAAGCTTCATCAAGCTTCTGTCTTAATTGTCCAAGTATATGACCATAATAGATGCATCCAAACACCTTCAAGTGTTGAATACCTGGTTTTTTGCCACTGAAAGCTTCAAAATAAGTTTTGTGTTCCACAACCTCGGTTAAGCAAGTACACAACTATTTTAACAACGTCTCCCTAAAATTCATAAGGAAATTGCTTGTCATGAAGCAT